AGTACACCGTTCGTAGTGTTGAATTTTTAGTGTTAATATAGCACCTTGCAGTGTAGAAAAATTACTTTGAGTGTAAAGTGTTTCACTTGCTATTGTTGTTCAAATTTTACACTATGGGGTATTTAACACCCCTGGTGTTGTTTTATTCCCTTAAGTGTTATTCTGTCACCTTGGCATGTTAACTCATACCCCCGGTTTCACAGACAAGGCTTAAGCTAGTCCCAGAATAAAATGCACGTTTGAGCTGTTTCAATTGAAAATATCTTGCTCTGACATATCTTAAAATATGTCAGTGTCATTGTTCTGTCAAGATGCACACCTGCAATGTTTTCTTCTAAGGCATTTTTGTAAAAGTTGCTTGAATATCTTAATTTAACTAAGGCCTAGTCATGGCTTAAGCTAAGCCCCGTTTGTGAAACCGGGCCTTATACTTTTACAAGAGATGCAGATACAGAAAGAGCAGGAAGCATGAGATAAAGTGATAAAATAACTGAATAAAGTTTACCGAATAATCTTTGTTGCATTCCTTTTTATGATCAGTCTGTCTTTGTCTGACCAGCATAAATTCCACAACTGTCATCAAGCAAATACAACTGCTACCATGCAAATACAACTGCTGCTTCCCAACATCGTCTTGTGATGTAAAAATCTTTGAGATTACAATACACAACTCAACATATGATTAAACATTAACAATGGTTAATCACAGTAATATAACATGAAAAAAAATAAGTAAATTAATGTTGATTACATTAAGAAATGAATACGTAAAGGTAAAGTACATAAAAGAGATAAAGATTAATGTGAAGGAAGGGGTCTGTAATTCATCCAGATGCTGTGACATCAATTAGTGTGTATTAATTCAACACTGCATCCTGTTGCACAAATGATGAGTACAAACACACCGTTATTCACACACCGAGTTCTCATGAGTTCTATTCATCTTTATATATAAGCTATGGTTATGAGGGCAGGGTCAGCACTAAGTGGGAGCTAGGCTGGACATTGGCCACCCAGCATTGCTGAACAAAAACGGCAATGAGCAGAATTCTTCATTTTGGCCAATATACGGGACATTGTGGCTAACACAAGACAGCTGCATTTTTGGCAACACTATCTATTTTCATAGCAGCCGCTGGCTTACACTGGTCACGTTAACGAGTGTGTCTAAATTAGGGCTGCACGATAAATTGCATGTGATATTTAATGCGCATCTTGTCAGTAAAGCCATTCTGTAATCAGCGGTAAATCTCCATCAACATTTTAGATCCAGTTTTCACTATCTCTCTCTGTCAGGACATGACAGATTTTGGTCTGATTTTCAAAGCTGTCACCTTGGCATGTTAACTCATACCCCCGGTTTCACAGACAAGGCTTAAGCTAGTCCCAGAATAAAATGCACGTTTGAGCTGTTTCAATTGAAAATATCTTGCTCTGACATATCTTAAAATATGTCAGTGTCATTGTTCTGTCAAGATGCACACCTGCAATGTTTTCTTCTAAGGCATTTTTGTAAAAGTTGCTTGAATATCTTAATTTAACTAAGGCCTAGTCATGGCTTAAGCTAAGCCCCGTTTGTGAAACCGGGCCTTATACTTTTACAAGAGATGCAGATACAGAAAGAGCAGGAAGCATGAGATAAAGTGATAAAATAACTGAATAAAGTTTACCGAATAATCTTTGTTGCATTCCTTTTTATGATCAGTCTGTCTTTGTCTGACCAGCATAAATTCCACAACTGTCATCAAGCAAATACAACTGCTACCATGCAAATACAACTGCTGCTTCCCAACATCGTCTTGTGATGTAAAAATCTTTGAGATTACAATACACAACTCAACACATGATTAAACATTAACAATGGTTAATCACAGTAATATAACATGAAAAAAAATAAGTAAATTAATGTTGATTACATTAAGAAATGAATACGTAAAGGTAAAGTACATAAAAGAGATAAAGATTAATGTGAAGGAAGGGGTCTGTAATTCATCCAGATGCTGTGACATCAATTAGTGTGTATTAATTCAACACTGCATCCTGTTGCACAAATGATGAGTACAAACACACCGTTATTCACACACCGAGTTCTCATGAGTTCTATTCATCTTTATATATAAGCTATGGTTATGAGGGCAGGGTCAGCACTAAGTGGGAGCTAGGCTGGACATTGGCCACCCAGCATTGCTGAACAAAAACGGCAATGAGCAGAATTCTTCATTTTGGCCAATATACGGGACATTGTGGCTAACACAAGACAGCTGCATTTTTGGCAACACTATCTATTTTCATAGCAGCCGCTGGCTTACACTGGTCACGTTAACGAGTGTGTCTAAATTAGGGCTGCACGATAAATTGCATGTGATATTTAATGCACATCTTGCCAGTAAAGCTATCAGCGGTAAATCTCCATCACATGCAGGCTTTCACATGAAGCAGCATTTACTACACAGAGCCGTTGTTCACTGGCAAGCTGCGTAAAACATGCACAAAATATGATCGTGGTTTTGCGCAGCTTGTCAGTGAACAACGGCTCTGTGTAGTAAATGCTGCTCCATGTATTTCTGGCAAGCTGCGTAAAACATGCACAAAATATGATCGTGGTTTTGCGCAGCTTGTCAGTGAACAACGGCTCTGTGTAATAAATGCTGCTCCATGTGAAAGCACGCACGTGATGGAGATTTACCGCTGATTACAGAACCAGCTTTACTGGCAAGATGCGCATTAAATATCGCATGCGATTTATCGTGCAGCCCTAGTCTAAACAGACAGATTTTAACCGAAGTTCTAAGTAAACATAAATAAAACAATACATCTCCACTAGGCTAGTTAACTGAAATCAAATGATGAACTGCACAAACCTCTGCTGAACCGTGACTTGAACTGTGGTCTCGCGCTGATGATGCAACATCCAGGTAGGCACGCCCAGGGTGGGTTATGATTAGGGCTGAACGATTTTGTTAAATAATCTAATTGCAATTTTGTTTTTACCAATATTGCGATTTAATATGCAATTATTTTTTAAAGCTCTTTATGTTCTGTATTATTCAACAAAGACAAGCTATAAATTATTGTATAGTATGACCAACACAATATTAGATAGATTAAACATAAATGTTCTTTTCTGTAGGCCAGGCCTATATGTTACGAAGAAATTAGGTGATGCATGAATTGATACATTTAGCTTTTAAATGACCAGCACCTGCCTGGGTCTGTGCGACAGCGACTTCATCTATGGCTTTTCTCTTCCTTTTGACACACCGATCCATCTCCCATTCTAAGTTACGTCCTTTGGCTGTTTACTGTTTTATTTCTTTTCTTTTTCTGCTGATGGCCCGCGCTCGATTGGTCAATCGACAGGCTCAAATCTGATTGGCTAAAGAGTACGAGATACCCGCGTGGGAGGAGTTCGCTGCCAGGAAAGTCTCAAAAATACACACACAAGTCAAAGGCGATTCACATATTCACAGTCCATGATGAATTCCTGAATTTCCTTGCATGTGTGAAACGTATTTTATGAATATATATTCTTATTTTGTGCACGTGAATTGGTTTTTGTGAATATATTTTTTTTTCGTGCATGTGAATTGGGTTTCATGCATGTGATTTCGGATACGCATGTGTGCATCATGTTTTTTTGTGTGAATTATTATTGAGTCTAATACGTTCATACGTGCAGGGCTCTATTTTGAACACAAAAAAGTTACGGACTGCAGCTTTAAGAATTTGCTTAAAAACCAAACAGCAACTTTATTTTTGGCCAGGAAGTGTATGCCTATGTGTGTGTTTATATGTTTATTTGGAGGTACAAATAGTAATATAACCATATATTAATAACAACAATATATATATAAGCAGCATTATAATGCATTATAATTGTACCAAATACTTGTTAATGCACTACATAAAGTCTGAAAGATTGTAAATTTTACATCCTAGTCTGTACATTTTAATATTAGAAACAGTACTAATAGTACTAGTTAGATGCCGGATATATTATGTATTGTTTATGCTATGACTCTGGATAATTGATTTTTAGAATGGAGATCGCAGTTCTCCCACGATTCTAAAAACATTAGAACCAAACAAAATAATATGTAGGCTAATTTACTTGAGGTTCGGACAAAAATATTTTAATGTTATAAATTAGTCTATTTATAAATGTCTAAGATGTCATGAGTCCATTTAAAAATATTAAATGAATTCATTACATAAAAAATAATTTCAAATAAATGAATGAAAACCAATCTCTTGAGTGTATGATTCATTCATCAAATAACGTTACATTTTAACAGTCACTCTGGTCCCCACTGGCATAATATAACAAAATCTTTAAGCGTAACATTAGTTCAATTAATCATTTTGATCGTGGCTATATACGGACTATAAACTATTTATTATTATTTAATGTTTGCAACTAGACTTGTGCCGGTATTCGGTAATGCGATATATCACGGTAATGAATATGCACGGTATTGTTATCGTGGGCACTGCTGACAGCACTTTTTTTAAACTAAATTTCAATATCGTGATAATCCCGTGTACCGTGATAAAAGCATTAACAATTAATCGCAACATGAAAATTTGATACCGGCATATCCCTATTTGCAACACAGAAATGTAGCCTACTGTGTAGACTGTTTGTTAAGCTGTTTCAAATATAAAGCTCACATGATGAGCTGCTCTCTCTGGATCAGCGGCTGGTTTAAATATCAAGAATAAACACCAACCTTCTGGTTCCTCGTGTTTTATTCTCCAGGTTTCTGGTTCCTCGTGTTTTATTCTCCAGGTTTCTGGTTCCTCGTGTTTTATTCTGCAGGGTTCTGGTTCCTCGTGTTTTATTCTCCATGTTTCTGGTTCCTCGTGTTTTATTCTCCAGGGTTCTGGTTCCTCGTGTTTTATGTAGACTGTTTGTTAAGCTGTTTCAAATATAAAGCTCACATGATGAGCTGCTCTCTCTGGATCAGCGGCTGGTTTAAATATCAAGAATAAACACCAACCTTCTGGTTCCTCGTGTTTTATTCTCCAGGTTTCTGGTTCACTCGTGTTCTCCTCGCTCTCCTCTTTAACAAACACCATCTTCACAGCAGCAGATCTCAGTTCAGATGATACTCCTCCAGATATTCCTGCTTGCTTCAAAACTTTGTCACGACTACGAGGATGAGAATATTACAGGTATTTACTGACCTGATTCAAAAACTGTATCTTTATATTTAAAGAAACAACATTTCTAACAGTTTGTATTAAAACAGCATCACGACAACACAACAGATATCACGGTGAAACTAATCTTCTTCCTCTGAGGTTTAATGGTGTTTGGCAAACAAACGTATCTTAGCGCCACCCGCTGGACTGGAGTGTGAAGCGCCTAGAGGAATAAAATAATACGGGGCGACAACCTCAAGCTTATACATTTTCTATGATGCAATTTATTAGACAATGGATGATGGACCAAACTTAAAGGGCACCTATGCAAAATCCACTTTTACACAGTATCTCAAATATTCTACAACTACTGCATCTACTGCAACTTCCATACAAATATATATATTTTTTTCCCGAACTGCAGGCACTGCAATGCAATCTCTATAGCTGTGTCCCAAAGTGAAGTGCACGCACTTCGAAGTGCGTATTTGAAGTGCGATTGCGTCACAGCATCACGACGTAGCTGTCCCAATTCAGGAGAGAGAGAGCACGCGCAAATCCTGGCAGCGGCAGGTCGCAGCGCCTCTGGCAGCTGCCACGGTCTTTCTCGCCGTTTCTGCTGTTTTCTTGGTACAAACTACACTGTTCTCAGTGGCGAGCGATGGTGTTTTAAAATAACAAGGCAAAGTTCTCACAGGTGTGTTATTTATTATTATTATTATTATTATTATATTTTGATGTATCAGCTGCCAGAGTTCGTGCCAGGAGTCACGATCGTTTGTCACCGTTTCTGCTGTGAACTACACTGTTTTTTAAAATAATATATTTGATTATTGCATATTATATACCAGCAAGCAGATGCGACCAGAATATGAACATAATAAGCTAAATTGCATAAGCATTTTCCCATAAAGAACATACACATAAGGAGTGCTTAGCTGTATAGACAGTATATACGCACAGAGGATCTCTCCTGGGCTGACAACACCACAGCACTGGCCAAGAAAGCACAGCAGCGGCTCTACTTCCTCCGCAAACTAAGAAGAGCCAGAGCCCCGGCCCCCATCATGTGCACCTTCTACAGAGGCACCATCGAGAGCATTCTGACGAGCTGCATCACTGTGTGGTATGGTGCCTGCAACGCATCCTGCCGCAAGACACTTCAGCGCATAGTGAAGGAAAAATTGAAATCGCATCATATGGCCCCTTTAACACAAGGAAGCAGACAGAACTTCAGGAAGAGTCAAGGCCAGGGTCATAAACAAAACATACTAACTCCAGATAACAACCTACATTGACTGCAAAAGCATACATAAACTAACAAAGAAAAAAAAGTACAGAGAATACACTCTCTCCCTGTCTAACCATAAACAGTAGAAAAGTGTAAGCTAAACACATGGCAACCGCCTCCCTATAACTTCCAACAGAAAATAAACACAATACGAATTAACAGAATTAATTACATGTTTCAGCTAAATCTTACAAGAAGACTAAGGATGTTTTCTTCAACATATTACTACAATGACAAGTTAACCTTGAACACCAGCAAAGTCAGTAGAAGAGACCCTTGCTCCAGTTCTCCACAACCCACACATTTCAGCTCTGCCTTTTAACTCCAAACTTCCTCTAGTGAACAAATCAGTACAGTGCAGTCATTGTCTCTCTCTTTAAAGATTCAGTCAAAATGCAGAGCTCCAGATGCCAAAATTAGATTTTACTTATGGAGACAACAAAGCTCAGATGCCTGCAAAACATCTGAATCTGTCTCTTCTTCCTCTTCTTCTTCTTCTTCTTCTTCTTCTTCTTCCTGGTGTTTTAATGGTGGATGGCATACAACTTTTAGGTGCATTACCGCCACCTACTGATTAGGAGTGTGGATCAGACCGTAATCTTGACTAAATTCTATTATATAATCCCGTGTCCTTTAAATAACGCAATAAAAATGGAAAGTTTTTATCCCCTGATTTTTTCCCCAAAATGTTCATCAAATTAAGTTTTTCTTTATTTTGTTTGAGGACATCAATCAGTATCATTCTTTCCTTTCCATATCTTGGACACTTCATTATAACATTGCTCTACATTTTCCTCCATATTATAATATTCACATTTTCCAGTTTCATGTCTCCCCATTTTCTTCAAACTGCTATTAAGAGCAGTATGACCAAATCTAAGCCTTGAGATTATAGTTTCCTCATGTCTATTTCTTCCTGTTACTCTGTACTTACCAACAATGCTTTGAATGCTATAAAACCATCTCCCTGTTCTTTCTTCTTCCCAATATTTCTGCCATCTATTCTTCACAAGTTGCTTGATTAAACACTTAATTTCACTCTTACCATACTTTATCTGCATATCTATGTCTACTTTCTTTGTTGCTTCCTTTGGATATTTGTCTGCTAACTCATTTCCTTTTACTCCCACATGCGCTGGTACCCAACAGAAAGCTACATAAATTCCCATCATCTGGATCCTATATATTGTTTGAAGAATCTCAATCATTATATCTGCTCTGCTCTCTGAATGACATGTTTTAATTGTAATTAAAGATGAACTTGAATCAGAACATAGGAGTGTCCGCTTTGGCTTATTTTCCTCCACCCATTGCAATGCCAATAAAATTGCAATCATTTCACCAGTGTAAATTGACAAATTATCTGTGATTCTTTTACTGACTTTGACATTAAATTCTGGGATACTGAATGCCACACCTACTTTGTCTTCCATATTTTTCGATGCATCAGAATATATTTGAACATAACCATAATAATTTTCATGAATGTACTTATGTGTTATTTGAACATTTGATTTTAACTTATCCTTATTTACCTCACTTAACAATGTCATATCTACCGTAGGTTGAGATATTAACCACAGAGGGATTGTTGACCATGGAACTGTAGGGCTTATTGGAGTTTCACCAATTTCCATTTCTTTTACCACTCCAGGCACTTCCCATCCAAAACTTTTGATTTTTCTTTCCTTTTTCCCAGAAAGGTTTTAGAACTACCCTAACTGGGTGTTCTTGACTATGTCCTAATATATTGACCCAATATCTTAGTGACAGTTCAATTCTTCTAAGATCTAAAGGCATTTCTCCCATTTCAATCT